CTGTGATGACGTCACATACGCGCTTTCGTCGACCGCGCTTTTGTGGAACGCGGTTTTGACGGGTCACGGAAACCAGAACACAAGGTAATTTATTCTCCTGATCTGTACAGTCCAGAACAGCCAGAAACATCGCCCAAATAGTATCACAGACTGGTTGCTACTAATTCAATCTGGTAATTTTCTAGACTTTCATAATTGCGTTTGTACTACTAAAGCGTAAGCCTTCTGAGATTTATTGCTAGAAAAACATGAAAAGAACCGCACCTTCAAAATCCAATCTTAAATATATTTAATCAGCCTACCAAGTTTACTGGGCTTGATTCCAAATCAAAGGGCATAGGTGTAGTCTCCTTTGTATTACATGGGAAACAAATGTAATTCTTCGTACTGGAATACTGGAGAGAGACTAGACATGTTATTAAAATGTACCATAAAATATATATACACTGAATATAAAACAGTAATTATTAATTCTCCTTGAGTATTGTTATTGACGCCATAAAGCAGGGGTGTCAAACTCAAGGCCTGGGGCCAGATCCAGCCCATGATGTGCTTAGATCTGGCTCACGGGGCAACTCTGGAAACAGTGAAGGACCGGCCCATAGTATCTCTGCTAGCTAAAAGGGAGCTCAGGAGTGCCCCACTCACCCCTCCCAAGCTGCATTTTCGCTGGCAGAGGGTTGTAGGAGGCCATCGCAGCCACAAATGGAGCTCGGGAGGGCTGCATGGAGCACTCGTGAGCTCTGTTTTTCTGGCAGAGGGTTATAGGAAGGCATCTCAACCAAAACAGAGCTCGTGAGCCTGTATTCACTGGCAGAGTGCTCGGGCCACCACAGTTTGGAAGTTTGGAAGTTTATTGACATTTGTATGCCGCCCACTCCCTAGGGACTCAGGGTGGCTTACAGACAACAAGGGAATATATAAAAATTAAAATTAAAATACAATTGTTTAAAATTACACAACATACATACAACTTAAGAGTGGGGCTGGATGCTAATCAACAGCCCCAGGCCTGCCGGAATAGCCAGGTCTTTACGGAAGGCCGGAAGAGTAGTGAGGGTCCGGATCTCNTTGTGTCTTCTAATATAAATGATTCTAGATAAAAAAACAAGTTTAACCAATGGTAACCAAATGAGAATTACGGTACAGGGATAATAAAATATATATAACTTTTCTTTCTTGACTTAAAATGTACAACCTGATTTGAATGAAGCATATGTAAGGACGGTGGAAGAAACGGACGGAATATATTTGTAACCAATCGATACGCTTTCAACAAGATGTAACGAAAGACGGTTTTTTTTCTTATTGTTTTTTTTTGTTCAACTAAAACAATAAAGAATTTTCTCAAAAAAAAAAAAAAGAATAGCAAAAGTCACAAGAGTCACTATATTGCACAACCCCCCTGGAGCATCTCAATCACTCTATAAAAATGCATCCATCTTCCCAGCCATTTTGTCAACCACCCCAGAAACATGATACTATCCCTAAAGTTTCTAGCATCCAAATAAATAGAGACTTTCTTTCCATGCAGCCTGACTCCATTTTATTTTCAGCACCTTTCTCCCTGCTTGGAACCGAACTGTTCTTCCAACAATACCATAGAGAAAGCAGTAACACTGCCGATGCGCTTGTTAATGTCAACTCAGGTTTTTTTTCCCATTTTTACTAGTACTAAGGAAAAGAAGGCAAATAAAAAAACAAAATGAAACCACCGAATAGTCTAAGGAAAAATATGTTAACAGAAAATATATCATTATTTCTTCCACTAGATTCTTCTCAAATGATGCTAACCTTTAAAATAAACTTTCTTTCTAAAGGACATAGACCTTAGCTGGCCTTGCTCTTTCCAGAAATAATTTAATTTTTTCTTTTATTTAAATTGCATCAGAATTTAGAGCTGTGGGGGTTACTTTTCCTTTGGCTGTTTCTCTGTAAATATTATTTCAAAATTTTAATACTCTTTGTTTAATATAAAAAAGGGAAGGTTTCCCGCCCATTATGTCCAACTCTAGGGGTAGTGCTCATCTCTTTTTCTCAGCTGAGGGAACCAATGTTGTCTGAAGAAATTTCTGTGGTCATGTGGCCAACATGATTATATGCTGAGGCATATAAACGGAAACACTGTTATCAACCCACTGAAGTACTTCCAATTTATCTACTTGCACTTGCATGCTTTCGAACTGCTAGGTGGGCAGGAGTTGCTTAATATACAAAGTAAAATTAAAATGCTAATTTACTGGTAAAAGTAATGCTAGTCAGTAAACTACAATCAAACGACTTTAATAGCTGAGTGAAAATGGCTTCAAATATAAAATCCAGTGAAAAGTTTATCTACATACCGTATTTTTCGGAGTATAAGATGCACCCTTTCCCCCCCCCTAAAAGAGGGTGAAAATTTGGGTGCATCTCAGAGGTGGGTTTCAGGCGGTTCACGGCAGTCCCCGCGAACCGGTTGGTCAGCGAACCCGGAAGTAAGTAACTTCCGGGAACGCCGAAGTGTCCACCCGCCCGCGTTTCTTACCCGGTTTTGACAAGTTGTGCGCTTCCACGCATGTGCAGGACGCATGCAGCGCCTG